CATATTATTTTGCACCCTATTTTCCACTCTAATTCCCAGCTTTGGACATAATTGTATTTTTCCTAATTATTGTACGTTGCGGTCGGGTTATTCACTTATTTATTCATGTACCTTTTTACACTAATCTGAATTCAGTGAATCCAGTGAGTTCAGTGGTCAGGGAAATAGATCGAGTAGTGTTCCAGTTGTCTTGTCTTCTCTCATTCGTGTGCTTGCCCACCAATCAGGTGACAGAATAGTTTTCTTCTCTCTACCCCATCTCGAACTCACGCGTACTAGTCTCAAGGTTAAGCTGATCAGCCTATCGCATCAAGGTCTTAATCTAGATTAGACAAGTATCCTCGGCACCAAAAAGTGGGTAGACAAATCAAGGTCATAACAAAGTGGCGACGGAGATTTTTTTTATATTGATTGATCCAAAACAAAATGTCTGTATCCTTGGACGACCTTAAAACTATTCTACAAATTCAGCAAGCGCAAAATGATGCAAATCAAATGAAGCTTTTAGATGCACTGATGCAGAAGCTGTCATTACATTCATCCACAACTTATCAATCAGATAAGTATGAATGCATCACAAATTCTATTTGTGAATTCCATTATGATCCTGAATCTGGTATCATTTTCAATTCCTGGTTTCATCGTTGCGAAGACATATTCCGTGTGGAATGCTCAAATCTTGATGACGCAGCTAAAGTTCGCCTACTCCTGAGAAGACTCGGAACACGTGAATACAACAAATATGTGAATTTCATCCTGCCACGAAATCCACGAGATGTATCTTTCAAAGAGACAGTCCAAATTTTATCTGACATTTTCGGCGAACAATCTTCATTATTTAATACTCGCTATCGATGTTTCCAAATATCGAAATCCCCAGATGATGATTATCTCACATATGCTGGTAAAGTAAATCGAGAATGCGAACTGTTCAAAATAAACGAGATTACAGCTGACCAATTCAAATGCTTGATTTTTATATGTGGTTTAAAGAATGCAGAAGATGCAGATGTCCGTACCAGGATGTTAGCACGCATTGAACAGGAACCGAATATGACACTACAAATGGTCACAACCGAGTGTCAGAGGTTGGTAAATCTCAAGCATGATACGGCGATGGTGCAACAGAAGGTTAAACCTTCCGATTTTGGTTCAATTAATGCTCTCAGATCCTCGAAATTGTCCAAACAGAACACTACAACCACACAACTACCTTCTGTCAAACCCCCATCACCATGTTGGTTCTGCGGAGCATGGCATTTTGCGAAACTATGTCCGTTCAAGAATCACAAATGCCGCAAATGTCATCGCATTGGTCATAAAGAAGGTCATTGCTCATCAAATAAACGTAAGTCTAAATGTCGTAGTGGAAATGCGAAGCAACCACCACAGAGTCAAATCAAAAGCACGTTCGCAGCCTTCAAAGTTGGTTTTCAAAGTAAGCGGAAGTATGTAAACTTATTAGTAAATGAAAAACCCATACGTCTTCAATTGGACACTGCTTCTGATGTTACACTGATTTCCAAAAACACATGGCGTAAGCTGGGATGTCCAAGCATCCGACCAACAGAACATGTTGCTCGCAATGCTTCAGGAGATATAGTGAAGTTGACAGGAGAAGTCACATGCAACGTTAAATTCATGGGACATAAGTTCACCGATGTCTGTTATCTTACAAATCGGCACGATTTAGATCTATTAGGATTAGACTGGATTGAGAAGGTTGATACCTTGAATAAATTATTAAATGAGGTATGTTCTCAAAATGCTTCCTTTGAGTCTATCAAAATTCCTGATGATATTTCTAAATCAAATGCCTCCGATGTATCATGTTCTTTTGATATTCATGAATTAAATGCTTCTGATGAAACATGTTCTCATAATCTTTCTGAATCAAATGCTTCTAATGTAATGTGTTCTCTTGATGATGTTAAATCGAATTCCTCCGATGAAACATGTCCTCACAATGATTCCCAATCAAATGCCTCAGATAAAGTATGCTCGCGTAAAACTTCAGAACCTCATGTAATTTGTGCCAATGTTATGTCCACACCAAAGTCTTCTGTTCCTTTTCAAATGCCGAAGATATCTCCAAAGAAACCTTGGTCGTGTGTACAAATTAATTTTGCTGGCCCATTTCAGGGTACATATTTCCTCATTTGTGTCGATGCTTACTCAAAATGGCCGGAGATTATCCCTATGAACCAGGTCACTTCGCAAGACACTATTATGGAATTACGGCAGTTATTCTCCCGTTTTGGAGTCCCAAATATCCTTGTGTCGGATAACGGCACTCAGTTTACTTCGTCCATCTTCTCAGATTTCTGCAAGAGATTTGGAGTCAATCATGTTCGTTCACCTCCATATCATCCACAATCGAATGGTCAAGCCGAAAGGTTTGTGGATACCTTCAAGAGAGCGCTACTGAAGGCAAAAGGGGAGGGGAAGATAAAGGAAATTCTTAATGATTTTCTATTTGTCTACAGAACAACTCCAAACCCGTCAGCACCAAATCAAATGTCTCCAGCAGAAATTATGTTTGGCAGAAAAGTTAAAACTGCTCTCGATGCAATAAAGCCAGAGCGAAATCTCATAGGAACGAGAAACCGAAAGATGGAAATCCAATTTAATCGCCATCATGGGGCGAAAAATAGAATCTTCCAAAACAACCAAACAGTATACGTCCGTGATTTCAGATACTCACCTCCACAATGGACCAGTGGACGCATACTTAAGAGACGGGGAAATGTAATGTATGTGGTGGAAGTTGAAGGTCAAAAGTGGACACGTCATGTTAACCACATACTGGAAAATTCTGGTACTGCACAGAAAACCGAGAAACTGAGTTCAATGTGGCAAATCTTCTTGGACAGTTTCGATATTAAAAGTTCAACGACTCACAAAACTGTGCATCCGGAACAAGATCCTATTAGGAGATCGTTACGAAAACGCAGAAGACCAGATGTTCTACAAGTGGACCCAAAGAAAAGAGCATACGTTTCTGAGGGGAGATATCAATGATGATATCTTAACTATTACTTGTAAATAGTGACTAATCATTTTTCTTTTTTTTTATTTATTCCAGTTGGTCAAATTAGTCACGCTTACACGGATCGCAACGTAAACCGGTTTCACTTATGCACTCAGTTGAATGGCAGTTACAACATTTTTTTTGTCAAGGGGGAAGATGATGTGAACCGGGAAACAAGAAACCCTGACAAACTACGAAGGCTATTTTTTCGGGACGTTATTTCAGTTTATTCAAAGCTTGTAAAACATTGACATTTATTTTTGTCCCTAATCTATTCTACAGAACATACACTTTCGTTCGATGTATCATTCACTGCCATACCTTTTTCTGTTCCGAAGCTATTGTAATTTAAACATATTATTTTGCACCCTATTTTCCACTCTAATTCCCAGCTTTGGACATAATTGTATTTTTCCTAATTATTGTACGTTGCGGTCGGGTTATTCACTTATTTATTCATGTACCTTTTTACACTAATCGGAACTCAGTGAATCCAGTGAGTTCAGTGGTCAGGAAATAGATAGAGTAGTGTTCCAGTTGTCTTGTCTTCTCTCATTCGTGTGCTTACCCACCAATCAGGTGACAGAATAGTTTTCTTCTCTCTACCCCATCTCGAACTCACGCGTACAAGTCTCAAGGTTAAGACGATCAGCCTATCGCATCAAGGTCTTAATCTAGATTAGACAAGTATCCTCGGCACCAAAAAGTGGGTAGATAAATCAAGCTCATAACAAATGATAATTTTGTTTTCGATGAAATCACTCACTTAAACGATATAATTGTATTGAAAATTAGTCTATATGGTAATAGAGGTATGTTGCCTTATATAACAAAGTAATTAAGTACTGTCAACCGTTTTAAAGTACCAAAAATAATAGTCTATGATAAAACAGACTTGTTGAAACATTTGACCAAGCAATCAAAAAACATCGTCAGCTTTAAATATTGGTTGTAAGTTGAAGTAGTCTTCGAGAATATAAGAAATAATAATTTACTGAGAAAATGTAAAACACAGTTGTCTATTGTACGAATACATAAGAATGAAGAATGAGTTACTGATTGACACTAATGATCTGTAAAATTAGAATGGGTTCTAGGGCCATGATAGGGTAAAGATTGACAGCAAATGACTGGTGCACAGAGGTCTCGTTTGAATTGATGAATCGTGATAGGTTTAGCAGTACATAAATTTCTGATCCATTCCTCATTTGAGTCGGTTCTGTTCACGTTTAAAACAATCTTGAACGATGATTCTCATGGGTGCATGTCCACAAGTTGGTGATGTGTTTAATGATTGACTGACTTGTGTTAGACTTTTGATAGCTATGAGGGGCAGTGCCCGGATAACCATTTGGTTAATTCACACTGTGAATGTCCGATAAAACCTGGTCTATAAGAACAAGTGAACTGATAAATGCAAATTTAGATGGATCAAAGCAACAATTTATCTTTGGTAATTCGTCAAATGAGCTACCTGGTTGGAGACCGATCTCTATTTTTATTCGTTGGATTTTATTCAGTTTATCAGGAATTGTGACGTCCATTCATGTTTGTCTGAGACATGGATGCATGTTCTGACGAATAGGACTAAACTGTCGATTGTGAGGCAGTTACCCACCGAAGACGATGGAACATGATCGTGCAACATCGTGCTTGATTGAAATTAGACATTACCACTATCAGATTCCAGTTCTGTGGTCTAGAAGTTAAACGTTAGCGTGAGATCAAATGTCACTATAACCCTCCCATACAGTTAAAATATCTAGATCGCGGTCCACCTAATTTATAATAATAATAAAATGAAGACGAAGACGGAGAAGAAGAAAATAAGAAGAACAGGGGGACGAGGAAAAGTAGTAGAATAAGAATAATATTAACAATAATAACTGGGTATCATTTCCAACATTTTATTGGTTACTAGATTTACACCATTCGATTTACTTTATCAGTTGTACCACAATTACCAACAGTTCAAAGTCTTCACTTCTTACGTAAACAATTTTCGCTTCGAAACAATTGAACCGACTAATGCATATATCTTGATCAAATGAGTTTCTGACGCAAGAATCACGAATTCAAACATCCAATCAAAACCAACTGGATTTTAACGAATCTGATCGCAATACAAATGATATACAACCAATCAACTAGCTTACATAGTCGACCAAATTCGTACAGTTTGATTCATTGAAAATTTATTTTGACACGATTCAAATCATTCACTAGTTTTCAGTTAATTATGGTTATTCTCTCGAAATTAATTGGTTGGGAGCAAATAAATTGAACCACAACTGGTTTGTTGTTAGCTCACTAGATAATATCTTCTCGACATGATAAATAAACCAATTAATAAAGTCTCACAAAACGTTGTTGCATGTTTTCACTAGCATGTCACTCATACAATTTAAACCAATCTAATTCTAGAATGACAATGGATTAATCCTATGACTTTGAAATAACATGTTTGACAAATCAATGTGGACTAGTTGTGATCTCAGATATAAAGTCTGGTTAACCATTCGCTTACTCTGTGCACTATGTTTATGTTTACTTGGCTAGCGTTCCTTAGCCTGTTGATTAATGCCAACATAACACTGTCATATTCCTCATCAGTCAAAGAGACATCTCCACAACAGGTCGGGTTGATATATGATGAAGAGACTCGGCGCACACGGGAACGATATTATCTGAAACACATTGGAGGAAATCAAAACTCTTCAATGTACAGTTATGATTATCATGATGTGACAAACGCTGTTCATGTAGTCATCAGTATTTCAAAGCGCGATTTGATATTTTTCGATAATTATAAGATCAAACCTGTTATTTGTTTCATCAACTACAGCAGTCAATTACCTTTAGTTTTATCCTATGATCTAGATTCGAGTTATTCTGCAGAGTTAGTTAATAAATCGAGGTATTGGTTACCACCTAAATCAGGAGCCAGTACAAAGATATCATTGTACATATTGCCGAAACTGGTGGGGTTAGACTATTTGGTGTTTTTGATTAGCGTGGATAAGCCGAAGTCTGGATATAACACTTCTACGTCATGGCTTACTAATAAATCCGAATCTCGCAGAAAATTATATTATGATGATTTAGCAACTCAGCATCAGTTGAATCTCTCCTTACTCAATACACAGGAAGTTGATGGCGTCAACGAGAACAACACATTAGGTTTCCCAGTCATTGTAACAGTAGATAGAGGGATCGGACATCGAGTTTACCGAATTTTCATCACGGTCATGCTAACTGCGTTCACATTTGCAATGGGGTGTAATTTGGAACCCTCTCTGATTTTGCATCATTTCAAAAGACCCTTTTCTATATCAATTGGATTCTTTTGTCAATTCTTTTTCATGCCACTGGTAAGTTGCTTGCCTATTTATTTCTTTTATACATGAAAATCGAGAGTGTTTCGACAAATATTTATCAAACACTAGACAGTACTCATTATTCATCATGAGTAAATACTTCACAGATTGGTCCTGCTTTTCCACCAGTTATTTGAATAAAGGACTCTGAATCTTGTAACATAATGAAAATTTTGGAACTTATCAGGGTCCATAACATTCATAAAGCGATAATTTTCACTCATTTCGGACTATACGAATTTTTTGAGCATATCATTTGATTGAGGAAATAATACACAAACCTTTCAGAGATTCATTGGTTACGTATTCAGAGTTATGAATGTTGTGCCCGTTTATTCTAATGACTGTCTAATCACAGTCCTGAGAGGAGAATTCCATCTACAACGTCTGGAACCTGTTTTGGACGACTCCAAAAACAAGGGATTTGTCAGTTCAATAACTTATTAAGATACTGTACGTGCTTAGGACTTGTGTATCTAAGTCATTCATTAATATCATGTTTGTAGAATACAAGAAGATTTGATAATGCAAGTCACGATCTTCAAGATTAGCTGTTCGGTTATTATTTGATACTGCAGCCACTAAACAATCCTTTTTATACATTAGGTTCTGATTGGTATATCCATGAGTAATCGAAGAAAATATGTCTCAAAGAAATCAGGAATGGAGTTTTCATCACAGACAACTTAGTCAATTTTTATTGCTACAGAGTGGATTGGAAATATATGATAATTAGAAGTATTTGAATTATAGTATGAACTAAGAATCCCAGGGATAACGCAATTGAATCAAGAAGTACTACACAAGCACTAACGAATGTACTGTATTTAGAATTCGAAATCAAACATTCAACAAGTACAAAGCAATCATTAGTTCATTCAAACACCACAAAATACTATGCATTTATTAGCGTTAGATATATTAATAATGATTGCTTCGTTTAAACGGTAAACTTAATAGGTGAATAAATGTGTTTCAGATTGCACTTGGCATTGCAAAAATTATCCCGATTAGATCGGAGTTTGGTTTCGGTTTACTCACCGTCGCTTGTTCTCCAGGGGGAGGTTCCAGTAATGGTTGGTCTTTTCTACTCGGTGGTGACATCAACTTGAGTATGTTAATGACGTTCATCAGTAATTTAGCAGCACTTTGTAAGTTTAACTTATATATATATATATATATATATATATATATATATATATATATATATATATATATATATATATCCCTTGAAGTTATATGATATAATGTATGCATACTAAACAAAAAACCGTTCATTAAGTAAATTATCATGCATTTGAACTTTGTTTTAATGAAGATATATAATATTGGAGATCATTTCAAATGAACCAACAATACAATAAAGCCTATTTAGTATTTCATTTTACGGGAGTTCAAAAAATTCCTTCTGTCATTATTAGATCTTGAATGAGGACAATTTCACCTGGAATTGCTAAACCCATTCTTTCGTAGCTCAGTTGTGGTTGATAATTAACTAAATATCACTGGTCGCTGTCATTCTATTTACATTGTGACCGATTAAAAACGTTAATGGAATATACTGTGCAAACCTATGGTTAAAAATCATACATTAACTTCATGTTTGGTTAATGACGTTAGTTACATACTAATTACAGTAAAATGAGTGTGTTAAGTACATCGTTATTTCATCTTGCGCTCCAATACATCAAACAAAGAATAGTGATAAATGGACAAAGACGGAGGGCATTTTATATGATTTAGAATATTGATAAACTACGTTGAGTTAATCTACGTGATTCTGCTGTTTGATATTTAAAAACCACCCTGTATGAGCATAGCTAGATGAGGAATAAAAGCTTTTGTAGATTATCGTGCAGTAACTAGTGTTATGTTCCAGAGAAGTGAAACGACAGTATCTGTGGGTATGTTATTCAGTGATAAATTGAATGATCATACATTTCAGTTTCATTGTTAATTAGTTAATAAAGGTCACACCAATACAAGCACGAAAGAACTGTTTCAATCTGGTATGTGGATTCACTCAGAAGTAGAATATAAAGCTATGCACAGAACTCATACTGGGGAGTTATGGTTGAATGACATGTCTTTCTGTTGAGATTTGATGAATACCTGTTCGTTTTAGTACTGACGAAATGAATTGCAACGAATAGGTAAAGTGGTCAAAATACCAATAATTTTCACATTGTTTGTAGTAATATATATAAGAGAAATATACTGATTCATCTACTTGGTTAGGGTGTTTAAAGTATCTCTTTATGTCTTAATAATGCACACCAATTAAACGATTACTTACTGGGAGTTGATCAATCAAAGTATGTTATCCAGCATTAGAAATAGACATATCAACTTATTATCTATTTAACACGAGATTTCGTAATTTCAGACAAAGTGAACATTGAGCAGATTATTTATGATCATAAAAGTATTCACTTATATTTCTCTTCCTCACACTAAATCATGGAAAACATAAAATTCAGTTTTTTTCAACTCATTGGAATTCTACATACATATTAGTATTATTATCTTGATATTAATCTAAAATGGAAGTAAACTGTTATTCTGGTACATCTTACAGGTTTACTGATGTTTTACAAACCTAAATGAAACGACGATTGTTGAATTTAATATCCCATTTTATTTAGAAGCTACATGCTTTCATGTAACCTGAAAGAGGTGAATCTACTAAATATTTGTTTAAGGCAAAGGGGAGGTCAAAAGCTTCAACTACGAATGTGATACTTATGTGATTGATTTCTTTTTCGTAAATAACAAAATGGAAACATTGAAATCTATCACATAGCCTGAATACCATTGGAATAATCTCATAAACAAGTGTTTTGGGGATCAAACATAACTGAAGAACTGTTTCCACTTATAAGTATATTGTCAGGCTCTATCCTCTTTTATAATAATGCACATGACTCGATACATTTTACATATTATAAACTATGGTAATTGTCACTTTTACATTTTTATTTTGTTTCTCTTCTTTATTCACTCACAGTTATGATGCCATTTCTTCTATTCGTCTACGGTCGGTTCTTCATTGATGCGAGCAGAATAGAAATTCCATACTTCAATATTTTCTTGCAGTTGTTACAGATAGCAATACCCGCATTATTAGGTTTAGGTCTACGTATATGGAAACCGAATTTTGCTAAGAAATTCACCAAACTAGCCGGTCCAATTTTTAAATTTCAATTAGTATTCTTTATAACTGTCGGTGTGTACGTTAATTGGTCACTGTTTCGTCTATTATTTGCCTTTCCTTTACTTATTCTTGTATGTGCTTTGTTACCTTGGCTTGGTTTTGGTATAAGTTCATTATTCGTATTCATTTTACGACAACCATTTCAATCAATTATTACGGTGGCATTAGAGACTGCTATACAAAATATTGCAATTGCAATTCTCGTCCTATTATATATAATGCCGAAACCAACTGGTGAATTGGGCGCAATTATGCCAATTGCTGTAGCTGAATTAACGTCTATACCGTTGTATATAATATACTCATCCATGTTAATTAAGCGTAAATGTTGTAGTCAGCAGAAAAAATCTAATGACATCGAAACATCTTTTACTACAGAGATGAGTAACGATTGTATTAATGACGTAATGAAGACCGAAAATGGTACCACCATGCCACAAATAAAAGTACCATTACCAGGAGTAACGACAACTGTCAGTGACATTGAAACTCATTAAACAATATAAAATGGTGTCTTATAAAATCATTTCCATGTTTTTGTTTTGTTCTCTATCTATGTATTGTTCTTTATAGTGTTCTAGTATTTGCTATACCAGACGTGTAGATCAGTGACGTAGGTGATCTGTATTGATGTGTCAAGATTTATTTGATTTAAGATGAAAAGTTTGTGTTAGAGATGCTCAGCATTGTTTACCCACTAGTGATCTGATGCGAATGGGTGACTTGGCGCGCTCAAGTAAGATGTGTCCGGTGGAACGAATGAGGTCAGTATCAATGTTGAAGCCTTACATAACTATTTATTTTGGATATTTACTTACCGATTTAGCCCTATCCCACCTAGTGGGATAGTGATGTCCCTAAGACGTGAACAGCCTGAAGTTCAAATCCAACGAGTGCGCTTCGGATAACGTACTATGTATAACAGCTTCTGGTCGTCTTTTCCTACTCTAAGAAGTCATGTAGTACATAATAAAAGTAAAACGTGTTCATTGAAAATCTCAGTTAACCGAATTCGTCTTTCTCAGGACGACTGGAAAAGTCAGTCAGTCGGCTATATCGTAGAACCAGGCACATATTTGCATCGGTCCAATTTAACACACTTCATTAGCACAACATGATGAATACCAAATTCATAGAAATCTTTACTTCAATGGTTGCATATAGGAAGAAAGAATTAGTTAAGAGCATCAGCATCGACCGCCTCAAAGCAGCGTATTTAAAAGGAAACCCTATCCACGTCGATTTTCCTTCAGTACAATAGAAAGGCACGAGTCCTACACTCATGATACCTCATCCGATAGCCGATACTTGGGTAGTATCTGCAAGCACACTCAAAACAACGCGTTCTGGAAGAAGAGTAAGGTTTCAAGAATATTTAAGTGATGATTACACGTAAGATACTAACTAACATTTTGCTTCACCCCGATTTTTCTTTGTATTATATATGATATAAAAAAACCAATTTTAATATGCATGTATATATATATATATATATATATATATATATATATATATATATATATATCCAAAAATACAATTTTTTTTCTTTTTTTGTTTGTTTATATGCTCACTAATATGTGTATATTAAGAAATTTCTTTTTCCAAAAAAACGACAAATAACATTCTTTAAAAATCGCTTTTACGCCATCCCATGTGTATGTACGAAAAAAGAACGACGAAGTTTACGATGAACCGAAATTTTCATTGTACCTTGTTTATATATCAAACAAACAGACCTCAAGGCATCATAAAATAGAAAGTAACATTTGTACACAATAAAGCCAAAAAGTGGCTGTGAACGTGTGAGACAGTAGTTAATAAACAGCATAATTTAGAGACAGTAATTTGTATGATAATAAATTATAGGTCAAAATGAAGCTTATAATAAGAGGAATACAAATATACATAATCTAATTATTGAATAGTTATACAATAAGAGTATTTATAGAATATTAGTCCGTTAATAGTCCTTGAGAGTTGCCCGTAATTTAATCTTCACTAGGATATAACAGAAGGTATTATTGGTTAAAGTGTTTTCAAACTACGAATACCTGTGGCATCTTCAAACTGGTTATATAAGTAAATTGAGTAAAGAAGGTTAGGAAGTGGTATTAATCCATTTCTATGGAGCCTTGATGAATCTATTTTCTTTTCTTCAATAAACCAATTTAATTTGCGGACACTGCGTCTACCAGTAGTAGGTTCCTGTAGTTAATTATTTAATGGGAAAGCCTGTATGACACGGATTTTTGTTGGTTCTTAGCTCATCAATTTATCTACTATATTCTATAAAATGTACTTCACTGCTGAGAAAAAAAGAAAGGACGTGTCAGGTGAACCTAAAGATGTATCACATATTCAGAGTTTAGTAACTCTTTTGTATACAACACTTATAATCAAACGACATCGACTCAGTTAATTTGGAAACCAATGTAGGGTCACAGAAATGTCACTGAGCCCTAGCTGAATCATCCGGCAGTTGAACCATTGAATGACGAACAGTACATCGATCCTCATCAAGGTCAAGGAAAAGCAATGAGCATCAAATAATCGCATATCATGGACTGACCCATGTGTTGGTGGTCGCAATCTCTTCCTTGTAGCTAGTCTTAATAATATATTTTTGTAGTAACGTCGTTTGCGCTATACAACCATCATGATAGAGACAGTTCTTCGGTACAATGAATGGGTAATCCATGTTAGGTGCTGACCGCGAAGCGTGACATTGACATTTGTTGATCCGTAATCATTCGACATAAATCATTAGTGAACTACAGACTCCCTCATACTTGATGTAGACTACAAACGTGGATGTTCTGTGTCGGCTAATAGAGTTAGATTGGAATAGTGTAACTAACGTCGGAATTCAAGGTCACACATCGCGGATAGCACCTAAAGTGGATTTGTAGAATTATGGACTACTTCCTTATTAGTACTGCTTTAATAATAGACCTAATCGTGGAAGTCACATCGTTGTCTACACTGACTCGTCTCAACGTATGAATCACCAATATAAGATGAAGAACACATTTAGGCTGGAGATAGAACAATATATTTAATATGAATCGAAGAGATAAGTTACACAAGAATGACCACGCCTACAAGGCTGAGCTATATCATCTGGTTTATTAAAGTGGATTAATTCTTCCAGCCTTCTCTAATGTTGGTCTTCTCTCCTCGTTAAATATTGAATATCTATTTTCCCAGTTACTCGTGTTCATCTTTGAGGACTGTGTGGTTAGGACACAATGCCACTACGCTACTCTCTCACCAGAATCAACATGACGTTGGTCCGACACCATATCGAGTGTGACTATTGCGCTCCGGACGTTTTCAAAATAATAATAAGAATCCTCTGAATGTTGATAAACTGAAAGATAAATCAAGAAAGCGGCAGCAACTGACCAAGAAATACATGTGGTAATTTCAAAATGTTTGGTTTTATTCATAACACGCGAAAAATAGAAATCTATGTGAAGGTTATTTAAAAGCTGAACAAAGTGGGATTTTAATGATTAAGAATGATTTCGTGTAGAAATATTTTAATAAGTCACAGTAAAATGCGTAGTATTAGCCGTTGGTTAATAGCTTAACTTATAGTCAGTATAAATATTTCATGTTTAGAAATATAAAAACAATCAGTACTGTAGAAATGTTCATATTCGTATTATTTTAGGTTTAGATTATAAAATCAAATAACGCTCATGTCGGTAAGCTGTCCGTATGAGTTGATTTCCTATTGCATCTTCATTAGTAGGCTAACTGAAAGAACAGAATTATAACCGTGGAGAAGAAGGATCCCAACTAGTGTTCCAGTTAGTCTGATACAGTTTATTTAGTTACCGGGAGATTTTCCCGACTTCGTTATTATTTAACCGTGATAGAATTTATTAGCACTACTAATACATTGAATGGTTATCAAAAATTCTTTTACGTGGAAATAGTGATAACTGTATGTATTTTGAACAGATAGCAAGAAATTAACTGTTTATATTCATACCTACCGACCGATGGTGTATACAACTTAGTTGCAAGTACCGAGTTTCTCATATGGTAGAAAACGGTTTATTTGAAATATAGTGATTATAAGCCAATGTGCCAGAAATATAGGTGATATATTGTTGCAAAATGTTTTCGGCTAAATAAGTCTTTACAAGATAATGAACAGTGAATCACGCTCGTGTGAGTATCAGAATGAGCATAAGTTGTAACCAAGAGGAGAACTGCTCCCAACTCATGTCTATGATAATGGTTTGAACTTTTATCAGTGTTAGGATAAATCCGATAGTGTTTTCAGTTTGCAGGAAATTTGCTCGACCGCTTATACTAATGATTTGCATGCATGGTTGTGTCACTAAACCTCCAATTAGAAAGGCAAGGTTTTAAGATATTTACTGAATGAGCAACTGATAGAGAAACATACTGAAATCATCTGTAGTGAATGAGGATAACAAGAAAATAATACTATTTAATGATAATTACAAGTCAATTTGTTGACCGAGTTTATTAATAGTTCCATCAATTTTATCAATCGTATTACTTGATTTTCAAGTCATGACGATGCTTTATGACGATATCCTGAAACCATTATGAATAACTAGTTATAGTGTTGATTGAGGACTAGCCAGTGGAAAATAGGCATTGTTGCTTTAGATGCTTCTGAAATAGCAGAAGTTTGCAGCGTTAACGAATCCAAGCTGCCTGATTATATTATAAATTACAGTCAAAAATATTCGTCAATACAGTGTTGCTTTTTTCCAGAGTTTTGATTTTAAATGTCCCTCTGACCAACAACTACATGATAGTTTAGTTATTATACTAGTGCAGTATGATAGTACCTAGATTTGGTGAGTTATTATCTGACCTAAATTCAACGTCTTTTTAAGCAACTATGATAGCCCAATTCATAAACCCAAATACGTATAGCAATGACGACTATGGCGGATTTAGTGAAACTGTGAAAGATGATTCAAATGATTGTTAAATTTAAAAGTCAACGCATGTAAAGTCCAGGTTAACATGATGGTTGGCGAGGAATATAACAATTTGAAGATATTAAACTTGGCCAAAAAAGTTTTAAAAATTGAGACGACTTGTGGAACCTCAGTTAAGAATATGACGGGTTATAATGCAGACGTTTCATAAGAAGTTACCGTAGTCAGCTTAATGACATTTATAAACCTGTGGCAAAGGTAATTGGAACTAAGAAGTATTAAATGATCTTGAATCTAATATGCTTCGTCTGTAAACAACACAGTTTTTCATGATAGTATGTTGTAATATAAAGCCATGCCCCCAAATGCCCTGGTATGGCCGAGAGCGGGGAGGGTTCGCCCTCCCTCTCGAAATACTCTCACACGGCCACGCGTATACAGCCTCTGCCAGGGAAGTCCTACTCACTGCCTTCTCGTGGCGGGGGTGTTGTTTACGAAAATGAGAGGACGAAAAGCGAACGTCCGGCGCTATAACCGGATCCCAATTCTATGGTGCACATGGGCTCCAGTATCCTGCGGGAACAAATGGCGTATGAGCCAATTTCTTGGTCACCGGCTACCATGGGACTGCTCCACTGCCTTGTGGACTAGACCTTTAGGTC